GGAAGGAAGGAAGGAAGGAAGGAAGGAAGGAAGGAAGGAAGGAAGGAAGGAAGGAAGGGAGGGAAGGAGGAAGGGAAGGAAGGAAGGAAGGAAGGAAGGAAGGAAGGAAGGAAGGAAGGAAGGAAGGAAGGATCTGTCAGCTATTTTTTCCATTTGTGTAGCTAGCAGCAGGCTCTGGCCATGTGTGGATAAACTTTCTTACCTGCTGAGCATAATCCCCTCAGACAGTGTAATTGCATTTCCAGGTTCACATGTCTCACACACTTTATAGATCTGGGCAATGCTATGTTATGTGATAGCAGAGGTTATGAAGGTTAAATTTGGACTAATGAAGTTCTGTTGAAATAAGCTTGAGTCATCTCATCCTGACAAGAAATTTAATATAAAGAGGCATTCCTGGGCAGGAGGAAAATCAAGGCTCTGCCAGCCTGAAAGAAATTGCTATGAAACTATTTCTCTCCTGGCAGTGCTCGACCAAGATAGCAGGAGTATGTACACAAATATCAGGTGTAATTAGCCAGACATGGGCAAGAGGGAGACCCATTTCTCTTCACCTCAGCAATTGCACATAAATGTCATTAGGCTTTGTCCACTTAATAGCATTTGACATACCTTGATATTTTCCTACATGGAGTAAATTAAAAATTATTGATTCCTTGCTTAAGTAAACACACTTCATGTTAATAACCAAACATCAGAGCATGGGGCAATGAGGTTTTAATTTAAGCTGTCCCTGAAAAGAATTGTTAAAATTGATGAGAAATAATAAAGGTGATGAATAATTAAAACTTCTTCCTACAAGTTTCAGCCTCTTCAGAAGTGGGTCCTTCTATCCTGCCAACCAGGATAACCAGGTGTTAAATGCTTTACTCAAGCTATGTGTTTTGCCAGCAGAAATTCAATTTTATTTAGCTGCAAATTGAATGATGGCAATTTCAATTTGGAGTCATCTATGTGGGAAAGAAAAGTCAAACAAAAATGCTAAAAGCTAAGGAATTAATTTGGTTTTAATTTTTGACAATCACTTTAAATTAACACTGTATTTGCATAATACTATATTTGTTAAATGATGAAATTATTTTTCAATTAATTTTCAATTTAATTTTTGATTGCATAGTATATTCACATCATATCATTCAAATTTAAATTTTCACCCATTCATAGTAATGCTTTACACCTCTTCTGTAATAAATTTCTACTGTGAAATATATTTTTTTGTGTTCAGTATATAAGTTCATAAAGATAATTAAAAGTAGGAATTTATTTCAGAACTTTCTTTTCTAAGACTTCTCTAAGGAATTGAATTAGTCAGGAGACCAGAAAAGGCAAGAATCACAGTTCCTGTGCAGAGATTTCCTCTCATGTGTTTCAAATTGCCTCATTATTGTCAGGGGCAGTGCAGTGACCAACTTTTCCAGTAAACAGACAGTTATTCTATTAATTCAGTATCACATCCCTGTGACACTGAGATTAAATTTTTCTGCCAGTGAAGAGCAATGTTACAGTTATAGTGAGTGATTCAGACTCAAAATATCCCTCCCTGCACACTAACATGGACATTTACATGTCTTATTAGTTGGCACCCACTTCTGTGAATTAAAAAATGAATAATTGGAATAATCTGTCAGAACAATGCAGATGCTCTTTCTGACTTTGGAATCCCACTGTTGGACTTATTTCTCCAAACATATGATTGTTAGAATCAGGCAGGCGCCCCTGCCAGCATGGTTTCTCACAGAGGCATTTGGTGACTCCAATTTTCCCATCTCACTAAAATCCATGTTTCCCAGCCTTTTCAAAACATCCTAGGTTCTCCAGGGCCTGTAGTGCTGCACACCAGAGGAGGACTCTGGTATTTGGAGCTCTTAAAACAGAAGTAAGATGGGTGAAAACTAAATCTCATTTCAGAATCAAATAGCATTATAAAATCTAAAAAGATGACCATGAAAACCAAAGTTATTTGCCCAGCATTTTATTTTCTTAGACTCCTCTGGTTTTGTCTAAAATACCAAGCCTAAAGGATATTGAAGAGCCCTGCAAGTTAGGCTGATATGTTTCCTTTGCACTACCCAGCATCTATGCTTCTCTTAGACAGTCACCACACAGAAACACAAGCAGACGAGAACTGAGTTTTCATGAAAATCTAGTTGATGATGATCCTTTTTTAGCTGAGGAAGTAGTTTGAAGTATTGTAAATTCAGAACAGTCCTGGGGGTTTCATGTGGCATGAACTGCTTACATCATCTTATTTATGATGAGATTTAAAACATGGTATTTTCTTTTGGAATGACTTTTAAGAACAAGTTCTCTGATAACCAATCAATGCTAAAATTGCCACACAGATTATCTATGTTAATTCTATCACCCCAGTATCATCTGTTTTGAATTTGCAGCTGTGTACAATTCACAAACAAATGGGAAAGCAGTCCCTTGGACATTTTGGGTGTTTACATACATAAACTATCACAAGCAAATTAACCATATATGTTTTTTCTGCATGGGAACATTTCAATCTTGCATTGCTTTCAAACATTCTGCTATTTCTGCTGCATGAGGTGCATTCACTTACTGGTAGCTGAGTAAAGTTTCAGTGCCACACCAGGTCGGTAGGAAGGTGGCATAGACAGTACTGTGGAAGACAAATCTAAGGGCAGGGAAAAGAACAGAACTTGCTTTGACACTCAAAAAAAAAGGCAGGTTGATCAAAGGAGCAGCAGAAAAGAAAGAAAAACTAACCCTGAACTCACAGTTCATTAATAAACACTTACATAGACAGTGATGTATAAATAAATATCAGTCATCTATATATTACTTTATAATTCATAAATATGCCAACTGACACACTTTGTTGCTACCCCAGATCAGTCTTACCTGGCTCTGTTTGCATCAGCTTGCTGGCTTCTTGTGGAGACACAGTCTGCATCCAAAACATGTCAGCTGTGGGAACAGAGACAGACTTCCTGTTATTCATTATTTATCTGCCTGCTGAGAAGAATTGCAATGTATGAGACAGCTCAACAGCCAGAGTCCCTCACCCAGTACACTGACATATAAAAATGTCAGGATGAAATAGGTACTTGAGTACTTGAAATAGTACTTGACTAGAAGTTGAAAAGCCTGTGGACTAGGGAAGGGCAGGATTTCAAGAAGGCATGTTTAGGGAACACCAAAAGGAGCATCTCTATATTGCTTTTTCACAGGTCTGCTCACCAAATATGGAGCAAAATATGAGGGGATATCCAAGTGGCAGAAGTGTTTGTGGGAAGCAAGATAAAGTTATTCCCCTAAAGACAGGAAACTACAGGATGGAACCTACAGCTGATTTTGACATTTCTGCAATAACCAACTCACTGGTAACCACAGTGGGTCTCCCTGAGGGTTCCTCCAGGCTCCACCTCAGAGACACTTGTCCAGAGCCCCCAGCAGAGGGGCAGGGCAGGTTCCAGGGTGCCTGGCCATACTCACTGGGGCTGGGCTGCAGGGCTGGAGACGGGGCCAACCTCCCCCCAGGGCTCAGAGAGGGTCTGGCCGTGCCTTGGGGCCAGGGAGCATCCACATGGGGTGATGGAAACCCTTTGGCTGCAGCTGTCCTTGGCCATGGTGGGAGCTCTGTGGTGGGGATTTCCACTCCTTTCTGGGTGAGAGGGGTCCTGGTAGCTGGAGAAGCAAGAGAGACACACAGAGGGCACCGGGCACCAGCACACTGGGGGTGCTGGTGCCCCACAGCAGCAGCCACTGCAACAGACTGTGGGAGAATAATATCTAAAATACACCCAGAAAATCTACTCCTTGAGTGCTTCTCTGGCACTCGAGCAGCCACACCTCCTTTTCATTTTAAATATGTAAAGACAGGAAGCTCCAATAATGTTTGAAATTTTAACTGAGAACATTTTAATGTGGGAGTTTTCATAAACAAAAAAAAAAAAAAAAAAGGAACTGGAATGTTCCTGTAGGGTTGTAGGGTTTTGTTTTCTTCTTCATATAATTTGTGCTTAATTTCCTATACTGCTTCACTACAGCAGAAAGAGAGAAAGGTCTTGTGTGTTTGAAGGTGAGCAGGCAGGTACTGGAGGGCAGATGCTGCAGTTTGGGAACTGACAACAGACAACAAAGGTTGGCATGCGGTTAAGGAAATTAAAAAAAATTTATAAAAGACAGCAGACTGACTACAGGAAATGCAGGCATTTTGTAGGACAGAGATGCAGCTGTGAAGATAAGGAGGTATGAAGTCAAGGTCAGAATTTCTATTAATTTCTATTACAAGCCAGCAGGCTTTTTGCTTTTTGCTTTTTGGCTTCTAAAATGGGGCAGAGCAGCACTTTTCTATCTTGTAGCCCTGTAGCAAAGTTAAATGTACTAAAGTTTATGAAATGCTCAAGTGAAACAATGTCATACAAAGAAATAGATAGAGATTAATACAGGAAAAAAATTACTATAGAAAATTAGAGGAAATAGTTTAAATAATCTTGTGTTTTGGATTGAAATCAATAACCACTTTTTCTGTTCTTCTCTGCCTCTTTAGAAAACATTTTTTCTGGTAAAATGGCTTTTCACAAGAGTGTTTCTATCCTCCAGCTCTTCAATGCTTTACTGACATCATCTGCTGATTCAGAGAAATTTTATGCTTTATCTGGAGTTAACATCACAGTAACTGCACAGCAAACATACATGATAATTTATCAATACATTAATCAGGGGAACAAAAATTTGTCTGACAATATTTGCTCACATTTAAATCTCCACACATATTCTGCTGATGAATCCAGTGTCTTGTTTGGGTCTTCTTGCAATTTCACAAAACCTGATAAAATTGAATCTAGATTTTGAGGTATGAGAAAACAAGGTTAGAGCACTCATTATCCACTGCATATTGTGTGAGAAAAAGGAAAGAAATCAGATTCTGCTACCATAGAGGCAGCAGTTGTTTCTAATTAAAGGGTGTTTTGGCCAAGCATCATCTTTTTTGTTTGTTTTTAAAAGGAGAGGAGCATCCCACAGCTTTCAGCACACACAACTTGCCACCGATTTCAGTCTGTCTGCATTAATCTGTCATTGAAAATGGGAGATAATGATGGGCAACAGTGAAGGGGGTGCACCTGAAGTGCAGCTCAAACTGGCAAAGCAGTTTTGGATGGAGGAACCACGCAGGACAACTGAATGTGTTCACCTCCACTCTGAAGGAAACTCATGTAAAGGTAGGAGGTCATTTGTGCTGAGAGCTATGGAAGGCACCCAGTTAGATTTAAGAGCACTAGAGACCCTCCCCAGCCCAATGCTGAATTCTGTAAAAGCTCTCATGCCAGCAGCTTTTGTTTGTTCCTCCACCAGAAGACCTTGTAACAAATAATTTAAAATAATTTAAAAGTTTTAAAGTAAAATTTAAAAGTAAAGTTTAAAAATAAAATTTACTTGCATTTATTATATAATCATTGGTTTAAATTTTCAACAATATAAAATATTATTCTAACTATAAACAAATACTTAATACTATGCAAATACATAAGCAATAATAAAAAATAAAATAATATTTATAGTTGTAGTAATGAGGATGGAGTACTCATTGCAAGAGCTATCTGGACATGATTTCACTCTGGCTCCTGTTTCCATTTATTCCCCAGGATGTACTTACCTTGATCAGATGATGTGTTACTGGAAAATGTGTAATTAATAACAGGAGACTTTTCTAGTATTTCCAAAAAATCAGACAGATTTTTCCCTGCAAATAGAAATGCTTGCAATTATCAAGAAAGGCCTGTTTCCAGTATAAATCATCACTGAGGAAAACCAGGGCAATATTTTTGGGTGGAATGATTTTAACTTTTACCTGTCTGCCCTGCCATCACACAGATGTAGATACAATCAGAGTCATTGCTTTGACGCACTGAAAGGCAAAGAAACATAAAAGAGATCATCATTACCAGTTTTCCTTACGTGGAATTATTTTATACAGTTGAAAACACAAACAATAAATGGCATGTGGCTATGGCATCTAACCAAGTATGTTCTTTCTGATCTAATTTTTGACAAAAACCTCAAACCACCATCAAATCCAAATGTTAGGTTCTTCAGGGAAAAGGTTTCAATCTAATTAAAATTCTAAATTACAAGTATTTTTATATAGAAAAAAAAATCTTCAGATAAAATAGCCCATACTTATTCTCAGTGAATCAAAATTGCTCAAAATATCAGTATGTAAAAATAATTTTCAAACCCATCAATTTTTACTAATTAATTATAAAACATTCAAATGACATAACTGCTCATAGAAACATGCACATCTCTATATTACACATATACACATTATGTGTGTATCTTTTTCCATGTGTTGCAAGAAAAATGCTGTTGAGTAAGAGCAATAGGCTTTTTATCCACATTTTTATGGTTGTTTTCATGCCAGGAGTAAATGAGACAGATAAGACAATGATAACTATTCAAAGGAAATGCAAACCTGAGAGAATAGATGTGGATTTGAAAATTTCTGTGAGATAACTGGTGGTGTTTCCAATGATATCAACAAGTAGAGCTGTAAAATCTAGACAACAAATACAGAAAGTTTATTATTGAAAATATCCTATCCTGTATGCCAAGTCAAAAATTCACTTTTATATGTTATGTTATTTTAGATATATGCTCATACATGACAAAGTTTAAAATATTTTAAAGGTTAAAATATTTTGCTGGATGTAGTGGACTGAAGAAACCATGAGAATCCTTTCAGAAGTATATTTCAAAGATGATATCCAAAACAACATCAGTGTGTCTAAAAACAAACTTACATGGACTTTATCTGTTCAAGAGAACATTTTAAAGTAATGCTCTACTTAGTCTGCTTAAATGTAGGAGATCTAAAGCCTGCAGGCTTTGCCTGTCTGCTGTGTGGGACCTTCCAATAGGCATTGGACTTTTCCTCTGGGTTTTGCTTCAGACAAACTGATGATTCAGATACCAGCCCAAGCAATGGCTGGTGGTGTAGCGATGGTATTTTCTAGCAGTAACAGGTCACTGTTCTCACTTAGGGAGTGATGGACCTGTGCCCTGAATTTTTACTGATTTGGAGAATGCTCCAATCCCCAAGGTGTTCTGGAGTTGCAGCAGAAAGATTCAAGTTTCTCTGTTATTCTCCAAGGCACACTGGGTAATTGTCCATAAAGGCTTTGTGGGATGTGTGGGTCCAGAGAAAGCCGTGAAAGCCACTGTGTTTCGTGCAGGGTCACCACGTGTGGCAGAGGAGTCTGGTCTGTAGCTGCTGACCTACCCTTGATGCCTTACATTAACCAGCCCTAGAATCCAAACACAGATGCATCCTGAAATATTAAATTCTGTGAAATCAGGGGTGTGAATGAGGATTTCAGGTGAAGGGTGTTTCTGACAGCATTTTGTAGTCCATTCAACAGTTCTATGAAGATGTTAGTCCTTGCTTTTTACTTCCCTTGGGCTCACTGAAGTTGCTGGAGTCCATTGGTGCAGAGAAGCCCTTGTTCATCTCCTGTGGTCACCTCAGGAGAGAAAAAGTACCCACGGTGAAGTATCATATACTGCTGTTTGTCTCTCCTGTGCTGCAATTAGTATTCCAAGGAGGAAAGGGAGGCCTTTTGCCAGTCAAACCACGCCAGTCACTTGACTGATGGCTCCATCCCAGACTGGCTGGCTGGGTGCAGCCAGCTGAGACTGAGGTCATGCAGTTAGAGCAGCCACTTGTCGTGAGTTATGGCTGTTGATCTCACTGTGGTGGTGGCAATCATAAGGATGAAGTCTGCAGAATTCAGACTACAGCCTTCAGCTCCAAAGGAAATAATTCAACTTAAGCACATGCAATTGCCAACCCTTTTTGTGTACCCACCTGTCAAGTCATTTGTCACATTATTCAAACAGTAGCAGTAGTGCATAGGGAACTTGCCAGGGTCAATATTTTTTATGTTAGAGACTGCAGGAAGAGACAGAGAAAAAAAAATCAGTGTCTCGTTGCACAGGTTGTGGGGGAGAAACTGCTCCTGAGCCGAGCAAAGCACCAACACTTACTGTTGTAAATGGTGACTGACACTTTGTGGAAGGCAAACGAGCTGTAAGTGGTGACACTCAGCAAAGAGAAGAGTTTCTTGGTACCTGCAGAAACACAGATCCATGCTATTAGTGCTTGGAACAAATTGTGAGAACAGCATGTTTTGACTCTGCTCATTTAGTGTCTAAAGAATTCCCGAGGTTGCAGTATGATACAGCTGCCTCACACTCAGTCTGTTCTCATTTCCACTGAAGGAAATACTTTGTATTGCTTCTTCCTTTTTGTTTTGTTTTTCTTTTAATTGAAATGTACACTGGATTAAAAAGTGCTTTTGAAAGGCTTCCCACAAGTAATTATATTGTGTCTATATATAAACCCACGCTAATTTCCAAGATCTCTGGGGCAGACAGCCATCTGCACTATAAATGCATGAAGGTGATATGCTCCTAGAAGCAATTCTGGAGGCCGACAGCACATGTTTACAGCTTCTCCTGCTAACACTTGTAGTGCCTTTTCTCCTGCATTGCTGGGCTGGCAGCTGTGACCTGCCCAGCCACAAGCCCTTACCTCTGAGTGCAGAGCTCAGCATCCCATTCACCAGCTCTGTCAGGTTAATAGCAGCCAGGTCCAGCGACTTTGCAGGCAGCTCTGAAAGAAAAGGAATGCATGAGGGCACAAGAAAACAGCTGTGCATCCACTGCTTCTATGTGCTAGACATCTTCCAGAATGGGAAAACCAAAATGAGCAGATTAAGTACTGAGGCACACCAAAAAACCACTGATGGGAAATAAAATTCCAGGACCACGGAGATGAGTCTAGAAAATAACAAGATATAGAAGCAGAAGCATGGTGGGCCAAAATTCAGGTCTGCCAGCTGTACCCTCGACCATGCCCTTGAGGAGCTGTAGGACCCAGCCAGCCCTGGGGTGCTGGTGCCCTCTCCTGCTGGGTGGTGGGTGTTTGCTGCCAAGAGAGCAGCAGAGTTCACCATGCAGGTCATAAAAGGCAGAGAAAGTGTCTAGAAAATGTTCCCCCTTCCCCAAACCTACATGAAACCACAGATTTTTGTTTTCCAGCTACAGGGATGGCTATACTGCTTGCTACAACAGAATAATTTTGCTGTAGCCGAATCACACTTTTTATCTTAACATGTTTCATTTCTGTTGATGTTGCTTATTTGTTTTTCCCAAGTCAAAATTTTCAAAGATATTTTTTTTTGCTTCCCTCCCACAAAATCATGCTGAAGCAGAGCAGTACAGTGTCTGTGTGAGGGAGGAAGGTGTGTGTGATCATGACAGAGAGAGGAAGAACAGAGCAGGATGGAAAAAGAAGCACAGAAAGCTGAGATGAGAACAAGATTGAATTTGGTAAGAAATGCAATTTTCCAATGACGTCAGTATTATTTATAACCAATTTGAAGCCAAGCTGCACCCCAGAGCTAAAAGCAGTGCTTGTCCACAGCACAGAAGAGAGAAAAGTTAAAACAAAAGGGAATGAAGAGCTGGGAAGGAGAGAAAGGAAAAAGAGAAGAGCAGATTTTGGGAAGGACAGTTGTTAACCTGGCCAGGGACAGCACTGGGTGGGGTGGCCTTACAGCAGGGGTGGGCTGGGGCTCACAGACTCTGCAGGAGCAGGGCCCATCTGCTGCCACCTCCACACCCAACACAGCACCTCCCACTCCCACTGACACCCCAACACTGGGGCTCCGATGTGCTGTTACCTGCAGTAGCCAGCACTGCCACTTGCTTCTCTTTCTTATTTTCTTTTGTTATGCACGAAGCTGAAAAGTGAAGAAAGAGACTGAGAAACAGTTTCCCTTGTTGAGTTTGCCCCTCAATAATCAAAATAAAAGTATGATAATAAATATATGTAGAGACCTTCACTAGCTTTGCACACAGAATTTGTTGCAAGGTACAGAGAAAAATAAGGCCAAATCCAAACAAATCTTCCCTTCTCTGTGCATGTTTGTTATTCAGCGCAGTCATGAAATTGAGGACTGTCCTCAAGAGCTATGTTGCAGGAGGAATGGGCTGAAACTGGGCTCAGGAGATTGGACTGGGTTTCTGGGATTCCCTTGGTGACCAGCTGAGGTGCACAGCAGTAAATGAGAGATTGCAGATCAGGTTGAAGATATGTGTTTGAGATTTAGGTTTCCTATTCCACCAGAGGAGAGCTGAATGCCTCCTAAGAGTAATCCAAAAGGCTCTCCAAAGGAGTCAGTGCTAGAAAATGTTAATCTGCCAGGTTCCTATGAGGCCTCAGCTTCTCAGCCCATCCAAGTTCCCCTTTATATTTGTTTATAAAGGAGAAATACCCAGTAGACAGTGTATAATCCAGGGCTTATAAATGGTGATGTGGTGTTAATCAGCTGTATTAACAACTCTCAATTAGTCAGAGCTAAATTTGGATTGACAATCTAGGCAGTAGGAGCTCTTCTAACCCTTCTTTCCTTATAAACTCTCTGATTCCAGACTCTTGGCACAGGATCCAGGAATAGGCATTGCCTGGTCTGCTCTGCTAAATGGCACCAGCCCTGGAGCTCCAGCCCATCAGTCTTGCTCTCACAGGGTGAAAGAACCAAGCCTGCCACAGATGTGGGAGTGGGGTGTGGGAGCAGAAAGAGGCACCTGGATTATTCCCTGGGGAGCACCAGACCATTGTCCTTACCTGTGCTGAAAACCAGAAAGAGACATAGAAATCCCAGGCTCATCTTCATCACCACATGCCAGCAGAACCCCTGCATTATGGATGCTGACTTCCAGCAGGTTTGGCTGGTCTAGGAGAGAGAAATGCTCTTTCGGTGGTGCTAAAATTTTTAGCATTGAGCGATTTTGTCCAGCCCTTGTCCCATAATGATTTGACCACAGAATAAATAACTCCGTGATGCAGAGAAAGATTGATGCTGGAAATGACAAAGAAACAGAGATCCCACCATCAGTATTTCCTCTGTGCCTGTGGGTGCTGTGAGTTCAGCGTGTGCCTCTTGATTTTTGAGTCCTACCTGGCTGGCTTTTCTGGGGACTTGGTAAGGTTATCAACACAACCCTCTTCTCTGGCAGGATGAGCTGTGCCTAAAAGGCACCTGACACATCAAGTGCCTATAGCCTTTCTGTTAAAACAAGATAAAATTTGCTTAGGTTTAGTTTCAAACCAGAAATGTCAACTGAGGTTCCCTTCCACAGGAATGTTGCTTTTCTGATCATTCTTGTTTTTCTGTAGTTTCTATCACCAGGTTGTGTCCTGTGCTGCCTTGCCTAGCTGCTCAGTAAGGATTAAGTGTGCTGCCTTTCAGACCATGGCCTGCTTTCCAGGTTACAAAGATTTAATTAGATGTGGTTAGGGAGGGGAAAAAAAAAGGTTTCTTTTAAAGTTTGCCCTGTTTTTGCAATATCAGAACATGTCAAATAACTCTGTAGTTGAAAATGAGGAATGATATGAAAATCAGCAAAAAAAAGGTCCAAAATTTTTTAATATCCTCTTGGAGCAGCTAATCTTGCAAGTATGCAGCAAATCATTATCTTGAAGATAATACAGCTTGATTAGAAAACTTGATTAGATTAGATCGTCATATTTAAAATATTTTTCATGTTGAAGTCACTAGAGAATTAACACATTCAAAAAATGGCTTATTTGTATTTAGTGGCTGTAAAGAGACTCTTCCTTGAGATGGTGAAACAACACTAAATATTTCTTTGTTGGAAATGTCTGTGTTTGCTGGTCTGATGAGTCAAAAGTGTGTGCCAGCTCTGCTAATTCAAGCAAAGCTCTGAGAGCTTTCAAGCAGTTCATCCTACCTATTCAGTCCATCTGCCCAATCCTTTTTACTCAGTCCCAAGCCTGGACTCATCCACAGTTTCTGCACAGCATGTGCAGAAGAAAAGAACTGAGGCAGAAAGTGTTGGCCAAATCTCATTCCCAGACTTCATATTCCATGACTTTTCTATGGAGTAATTATGCATGGACAGAGTCCAGTATCCTATGGACAAGTCTAGCACCAAAAATCCTAAACCTGGCTTTTCTTGCAACAGTATTTGGGATCTGGCAAACTGCTAGACTACAGACCATGAAAATGTTGCTGTCAAGAAAATCACAGGGCCTGACTCCCTGGCAAGGCTATCCCTGCTTCCACTCTCTGGTGTTAGGAAGCTTCCTGGGACTTGTAACAACTAGTTTTTTATGGATCTGTGGAGTCTGTAATTAGGGGAGACCAGTGTGTTATCTCAAGCCTGCTCAAGGCTGATGTGGTGGAAGCAGTGGAGGAGTAGTATGCATGGAGATAGATGTAAAATCAACTCACATCTCTGGATTCTGGTCATTTTTTTGTCATCTTTGGTCTGGTTCAATGAAGTAGAGAGGAGTTAATGAGAGAGGCTTCTCAGTGGAGCAGAGTATGAGGAACTGGTGCTTTGCAAAGCTGCAAGAAGGTGGCCGTTAGGGAGGTGAAGAGTTGGGTGATCATGTAAAGGGAGCTTTGTAATTACATGTGACTTGGAGCAGGGATCTGTGGTGGCTGGTGCATCTGGATAATCAAGCCTCCTATTAAAGGGGAACTATTGGGTTGTGTCTTTGTTTGAGGTGGGAAGTGAGGTGGTTTGCTGCTTTTTTAGTAGAACTTTATGAATTCTAGTAGAACTTCATGAATTTTGATTGCACTATAAGTGTACCCTTAGCTCTGCAAAATCTGCATTAGGATGAGTTGCACTTTGTGATGATGGCTCAGTGTTTATGGGCTCTGAGAATGTTCCCCATGACCTGTGCACTCCATGCACACAGGAGTGACCAGGCTGCACAGCCAGTGCTGTCCCTGTGCACACCAACCCAAGGGACATCAGCAGGAAACACAAGTGCTTCCACTGAGCTGTCCCTGTGGTTCAAGGGCGGTCAGCTGGAGGATCTCTGCAGCCCTGACTGGGGAAAGACCCCACACCTCTGCCCTTCCCAAGGATTCTGGCTGCCAGGAGGGTGAAAGACCCAGACCTGGGAGGTGGGGGAAGAGGTCACACCCTGCCCCATTTTCAGTCTGTCCCCACAGATCAATGGCCAGTGTTCTTCCACCATGAGGAAACTTGATTTCCAGGACCTGCTTTGAGGAATATGTGCTCTTCTGGCTCACCAGAAAATCACACTAACACTGAAATCCTTGGTAAGAGCATTTCACAGACTGATGTGAAAGCACAACTGTTTTACAAAGGTTCATAAGTAAAAGGGTAGATAGCAGATAATTTCCTATCAGAGATCTAACTTAGTAGTGATTTATTTAAACTGGCCAGAGTTGCTCATGGCAGCAGAACAAGGGAAAATCATTTGACATAAGACTTGGTGTAGCAGGTAAGAGCAGGGTCTAGACAGACCACAGCCCTAAAAGAGGCAAGAGGTTTCACACATGAAGGGATCACCTATTTTAGGAGAGAGAGAAAAGCTGTAAAAGTACAAACAAAATAGTATTCCCCACACACTGAGTGAAGTTTTCTTGCTCACCTGAATTGTCAGTTCCCTGCTGTCCTCCCTACTGAGCTGCTCCTCTGTGCTAATCAACACACAGTTTTCTCCACACAAATGCTGATTTCCAGCAGGAATTCAGAGAAGGCATTAACCTGGCCATGTCACACTACAGACTCAACCAAGCAAAACATCTAATTATAGGGACAACAGGCAAACATAACCTGGAAGGATGGATCACAGTAAGACAAATCCTGTTCAACTCCTAGCAAAGAAATATTGAGTATTGTTGGTATAAAATGGTGCAAAGTCCTCCATTCATGAGACTGCTTGTTTTGCCTGAATGACAATTTAGCACTGGTGTGTTCCCTAACAAGCACAAAATGCTCAAAAAGAAATTGCAGATAAATCTTAATGCTAGGAATATCACTCCAAAATGGATTACCCTTGCTCCTTATTTCGTAGGGACTTTGATTTAAATTTGAAGCATTAGTTTTTAGCTGCTTCTTGAAGTCTTTTTCCAGCATTAACTCTGAAATTTAAGCTATCCAACTAAATTTCAAAACCATGTTTGACAACTATTCCTGGAGCTGTTGCCTGAAATATCTTATCTCTCAGCAATGTGAATATTAGTAATATTAACTCTTGCAATACACGTCACTTTTGCGTTACTCTGGTTATTTGATATCAAATTTTTATTTATCAGGGGCAAGTCTTTATTACTTTGCAACTGTATCTCTCTTGAAGTGACTCCACTGTGATGACTGAAATACATGTCCAGATTGCAAATATGAAACCCTCATTGTCCTCCAGATCAAAATCACCATTTCCATTTCAGTCTATACTGAGATTCACAGGTGCTGAAGGCACAGGTGCCCCACAGCCTCGAGCAGGCAGACAAATCCCATAAACTGACTCAGAGAAGGTTTTCCTTCCAAACCTTTATCTGATAAAGGCTGAGGGTCAAGCCTTTGGTTACAAATTCTCCTTCGCCTCTGCTGGATGTAACAGTCATCCTCTGTTTATTTTAAGCTGAATGATATTAGTAGGATCTCTTTTATTTAGAACTGTTGATCCAGAGTTCCCTGAACTGCTGAATTGGAGATTTTAATCCAGTTCAAATTACTTTTATACACGTATGAAGACCAAATCCCTCTCTGTTACTCTAGGTTAACAGCAATCTTAAACCAATGTGTTTATTAGCTATGCTTCAGTAGAACTCCTTTAAATGTGGCAGGTAACAATGAAGTTTGAATTGTTTTCATTTTTCCTGTACAGATGTAGTGCACTCCAATATCAAGCACTTTTCTCATGTCTTCATGCTTAACAGAGCAGAACAGAAATTAAGAGAACAAAGAAATAAAAGGGAAAAGCCCTTGACTATGAATTTCCTTACCTTCATTCAGCTGGAACATCTAAAGGTCATGTCTCATTTTAAGCACACCATCATCCACCAAGTCTAAAGAAATATTTAAAGTTAATGTGAAAATATGCCCGTGTTACAACTGCGCGCTTCATTACATTGATACAATTACTTTTTAAGTTCAGATTTATTTGTGTGAGAATAAAATAAAATGTGATAAATATACATTTAATAAAAAAATAATTGAATTTGCTACATTTCCACCGAGCATTAATAGCACAGCTGAAATGGTTTCCTACAAGTACAAGCAAAACCACCAAGATCTGGAATACTTAATATCAACTTACCTGATTTCTCATGACAAATGTTATTATCTTCAGAGTCTATATAAAACTGGAAGTTATTGCCAGGTCTTAATAAACACTTTGTGAAAAACTTTGAGTAGACAGGCTTGATAATCTTTCCTTAAAATCCTGTGAAAATCGTTATCCTAATCCCTGAAGGACTAACCAGAGGTAACACAATCGTAAGCACACAAAGTGCCCGTTGAATCCCTCATGGAAAGGCTCTGTGGCAGGTCAGGTGGGGATTGGAAGCTCCTTTTGGCAGTGGAATTGTATTGTGGAGGATTTTTTTTCCCTTTTAAAGGAGCAGCTCTGCTTACTGCAATTAGACTGATGCCACCTTTGATGTTGAGAAGTAGGCAAGGGTGAGCACCTCTGGAAAAGCTTTAGACATCCTTCAGTTCAAACAAGGGACAGTGTCAAGGGGGCAGAGATGACACCTGAAGTGTATCTTAAGTGTGGCACCTCAAAAGGAATAAAATGTCAGTTTAAACAGGAAAAATTGCCTGGAATCATGGTTAAGTGGTGAGGAAGGAAGAGAGGTCTGGTCAGAGCAATGGCATA